AGATTTAAATGTAACAGGGAAAATAAGAAATGTATACTAAGAGATTAGATTGGAAAAATTCAGACAGGGCTGATGGAAGTCAAAAAAACTCAATAAGATGTAAAAATATGTTTAATTACTGTTGGAAATGGTATGTTAAAAAAAACTAATAAAAATTGACAGTTAAGAACTGAATTTGTTCTGGAGGTCCATTCTTAACCTGAAACTGTTCTTAACCTGAAGCACCACTTTACCTAATGGGGCCTCCCGCTGCCGCTGCGCCACAGGAGCCCAATTTCTGTTCTCATCCTGAAGCAAAGTTCTTAACCTGAGGTACTACTTCAGGGTTAGCGGAGTCTGTAACCTGAAGCATCTGTAACCTGAAGCATCTGGTACCTCAACACATCAAACATTAAAAACTTCCCTGAACAGGGCTGCCTTCAGATGTATTGCAAAAGTCAGACAGTTGTTTATTTCCATGAATTGCATTCGCCTTTTTTGCTGCTGCATCACACTGTTGACTCATGCTAAGCCTGCGGTCGACCAGGGCTTGGGATGTTCCCTGAAGTCTGAAACCCTGGAGAGCATCTCCCGGTCAAAGTAGACATTATGAAGCTGGATAGACCCATTTCTGACTCACTGTAAGTGCAGCTTCTATGTTTGGGATGGTTTCCCCTACAGAGCGACCGCAGACAGCGCCCACACCAATTATGTAACAGATGTCACAAATTCAGGAAGTTGCCTTCTCCTTGGACCAAAGATGGGGAAGTGGTGGCCCTGCAGATGTTGCCCATCATCTCATCATCCCTGACCATTGGCCACGCTGTCTGGGGTTGATGGGAAGTCTGGAAAGGCCCCTGCAGACTCCGAACCCGTGACTTAGGCAACTGACCCCTCTAGCCCTGAAGCTGCCCGCTCTGGCTGGCAGCAGCTCTTGGGCAGAGAAGGGCATTTCTATAATAATAATAATAATAATAATTTATTATTTATACCCCGCCCATGTGGCTGAGTTTCCCCAGCCACTCTGGGCGGCTGCCAATCAAGTGTTAAAAACAGTACAGCATTAAATATTAAAAACTTCCCTCAACAGGGCTGCCTTCAGATGTCTTTTAAAGATAGGATAGCTGTTTATTTCCTTCACATCTGAAGGGAGGGCGTTCCACAGGGTGGGAGCCACTACCGAGAAGGCCTCTGCCTGGTTCCCTGTAACCTTCCTTCTCGCAATGAGGGAACCACCAGAAGGCCCTCGGAGCTGGATCTCAGTGTCCGGGCAGAATGATGGGGGTGGAGACGCTCCTTCAGGTATACAGGCCGTTTAGGGCTTTCAAGGTCAGCACCAACACTTTGAATCGTGCTTGGAAACATACTGGGAGCCAATGCAGATCTCTCAGAACCGGTGTTATGTGGTCCCAGCGGCCACTCCCAGTCACCAGTCTAGCTGCCGCATTCTGGATTAATTGCAGTTTCCAGGTCACCTTCAAAGGTAGCCCCACGTAGAGCGCATTGCAGTAGTCCAAGCAGGAGATAACTAGAGCATGCACCACTCTGGCGAGACAGTCCGCGGGCAGGGAGGGTCTCAGCCTGCGTACCAGATGGCGCTGGGAGACAGCTGCCCTGGACACAGAATAGACCTGCGCCTCCATGGACAGCTGTGAATCCAAAATGACTCCCAGGCTGCACACCTGGTCCTTCAGGGGCACAGTTGCCCCATTCAGGACCATGGAATCCCCCACACCCGCCCGCCCCCTGTCCCCCAAAAACAGTACTTCTGTCTTGTCAGGATTCACCCTCAATCTGTTAGCCGCCATCCATCCTCCAACTGCCTCCAGACACTCACCTGCTCTTTGCCTATTCTTGCATCTTTTAAGCTGCTGTTGTAAGATATAGGATCATGAAATTGCAGAGCTGAGCTGAGAGGGGTCCCAGGAGTCATCTAGCCCAACCCCTGCAATGTCTGTGTATTACACTTGTACCTGAGAAGAACTGGCCATAACGTACGTTATGAAAATCTGTGTCTTGTCAGCCTTAAACTGAGTCAGACCCTCGGTGGATTTAGGTCAGCACAGTGGTACCTTGGTTCTCAAAGTTAATCCATTCCGGAAGTCTGTTCCAAAACCAAAGCGTTCCAAAACCAAGACGCGCTTTCCCCTAGAAAGTAACGCAAAATAGATTAATCCGTTCCAGACTCTTAAAAACAACCCCTAAAACAGCAATTAAACATGAATTTTACTTTCTAACGAGACAATTGATCCATAAAATGAAAGCAATAAACAATGTACTGCAGTTGCACAATCGATCAACCAGTAGCTGAACTGGGTTCCGCACAGTCGCAAAAACAAGACAAAAAAGAGCCACAAAAACACAAATGCAAAATGAATAGCAAAAACAGACAGACCTCAGTGTAACACTCAAAACGGAAGTGTGGCGCTCGAATCAGAGTACATTCGGCTTCTGAAAAAAGTTTGCGAACTGGAACACTTCCGGGTTTGCAGTGTTTGGGTTCCAAGTTGTTTGAGTCCCAAGGCGTTTGAGTCCCAAGGGGCCACTGTATTGCCTACACAGACGGGCAGCAGCTATCCAAGATTTCAGGCAAAGTGTCTCTCCTGGCCCTACCTGGGATTGAACCTGGCCCTTCTGCCTGCCAAGCATATGCTCTAAAACACTGCCTTACTCACACAAGCCTTTGCAGAGCGAATTTTTTTATGTTAAAGAGTTAAATCTACCCTGTACCTTTTCGCTACCAGCCATTTCCTGCCCTTTTAACATACTGCCGACTTTGTTTTTGCAGAAAAACATAGACTTTGCTTTTGCAGGCGGGAAAACAAAATTGCAACTTACCAGCTTTTAAAAATTCATAATTTAGGAAGGTTAACTTTTCAAAACGGTGAGTTGCATTAGGGTGCTTAAATTTCTTAATCAGCAAATAAACAGTGAAGGAGATGCATGGGTAATGAGTAAAAGAGTCCTTGGATGAATATTGTGTCCATATTCAACCAAACTCTGAAATTTCCAGGAGAGTTGGGTAAAAGCAAATCTATTAAGGCCAAAAAAAGATAAATATCTATTAAAGCCTTGTACTGTTTGAATCTGTTTAAGGAAGTTTTTAATGTCTGGCGTTTTATTGTGTTTTTATTATTCTGTTGGGAGCCACCCAGAGTGGCTGGGGAAACCCTGGCAGGTGGGCGGGGGTTTAAATATTAAATTATATTATTATTATTATTATTATTATTATTATTATTATTATTGTTTTCATATTAGTGGGATCACAAACTTGTACAGCTGGAAGCGGCTCAAAAGGGTCTTCTATCCTAACCCCATGCAATGCAGAAATCAAGATATAGAACCGGCTTGTCGTAATTCTGTATGTTCCCTACTGCTTTGCTACATTTTCATGAATATGCGGTCTGTAAATATGGACGTGGGTGGCGCTGTGGGTGAAACCACAGAGCCTAGAACTTGCTGATCAGAAGGTCGGCGGTTCAAACCCCCGCGACGGGGTGAGCTCCCGTTGCTCGGTCCCTGCTCCTGCCAACCTAGCAGTTCAAAAGCATGTCAAGTGCAAGTAGATAAATAGGTACCGCTCCGGCGGGAAGGTAAACGGCGTTTCCGTGCACTGCTCTGGTTCGCCAGAAGCGGCTTAGTCATGCTGGCCACATGACCCAGAAAAACTGTCTGTGGACAAATGTCGGCTCCCTCGGCCAGTAAAGCGAGATGAGCGCCACAACCCCAGAGTCGTTCGTGACTGGACTCAACTGTCAGGGGTCCTTTACCTTTAAATACAGTGGTACCTCTGGATACGAACATGCGCGAGCAGTGAAACCCATGTTCTGTTACTTCCGGGTCGTCGCGGAGTGCAACCCAAAGTGCTCAACCTGAAGCATATTTAACCCGAGATATGACTGTACAGTGGTCCCTCGAGTTAAGTACTTAATTCCTTCCGGAGGTCCATTCTTAACCTGAAACTGTTCTTAACCTGAAGCACCACTTTAGCTAATGGGGCCTCCCAGTGCCACCGTGCCGCCAGAGCACAATTTCTGTTCTCATCCTGAAGCAAAGTTCTTAACCTGAAGCACTATTTCTGGGTTAGCGGAGTCTCTAACCTGAAGCGTATGCAACCTGAAGCGTATGTAACCTGAGGTACCACTGTATTTCAATAAACACAATCTTTTCTTTCCTTTGTAAGATTCTAGTCCTCAGTTTTTCAGAAAAATGCCCATTTCAAGATGAACATAAAACGCTGACTACCGGTCCATCTCCTCACTTGCAATTCTCAGCAGCTGGAATTCAGAGCCAAGCACTGACTAGGATTTCAGACAAGAGGGTCTCTCCCAGTCCTCTTCGGAGAAGCCACTGGGGCGGCGGTCCAGTTGAACCCGGGGTCTTTTGCTTGCAGAACCCGTATCCCAAGCCTACCCCTCTTCCTTTAGACAGTTGTCCCTGCTGAGAAAATATAAACGGACCCAAAATTTCCCAACAGGAAAAGCGACCCAGGGGTAATTCCCAGAAAAGACAAGCGTGGGCGTCTCCTTCTGCAAATGCTTTGCAGTTTTGCAAGCGTCAGGAGCCAATTCCCCTTTTTGGGCAGGGGGCAGAGTTAGGTAGCAGGGTCACATTCCTGAACCCCAGCTCCACCGAATCCGGGGGGGGGGGAGGAGCACAGCTCCAGGGTCTTTCCTTGCTACTTCCTGAACTTGGGCCTCTATCTTGGCTGCTCTTCAACCTCCAGCCCCCTTTCCTCCCCTCTCCCCGCCTGCCTGCCACCCACGTCATTTTATATTGTCCGGCCCAGTTCCTTCCACCTCTCCTTTTAAGGGCAGCGCTTTGTCAAGCAGGCCTGCAGCAAATCTTGAGACAAGAGAAGAAGAAGAAGAAGAAGAAGAAGAAGAAGAAGAAGAAGAAGAAGAAGAAGAAGAAGAAGAAGAAATTTTATTTATACCCCGCCCTCATAGACTTTGTAGAGTTGGAAAGGGACCCCTGGGCATCATCTAGTCCAACCCCGCTGCTATTCAGGAATACGCAGCTGTCCCATACGGGGATCGAACCTGCAACCTTGGCGTTCTCAGCACCGTGCTCTAACCAGCCGGACTACCCACTGCCCTATCAGGACAGAGAAAAGGAAGCCTTTTTTCACACAGCACAGGTTAGACTATGGAACTCCCTCCCACAAGAGACATGGATGACCGCCAACTTGGACGGTTTTAAAACAGGATTGGAGAATTTCTCTGTTCTTCCTCCACAGCCAGAGGCAGCAGTGCTTCTGAATCCCAGCTGCTGGAAAACACGGGAGGGGAGAGTTGGTCTTGTGTTCGAATCCTGCTTGCGGGTTTCCCGTTGAAGCGTCTAGGCGGCCACTGTGAGAACAGGAGGCTGGACTAGATGGGCCCCCTCTGGCCTGATCTTTACCTTCTCAAGGAAACAGTGTGGTGCAGTGGTTAGAGTGCCGGACTAGGACCTCGGAGACCAGGGTTCAAATAATAATATTATAATAAATTTTATTTATACCCCCGCCCTCCCCAGCCAAGATGGGTGGCTAACACCAGGTATAAAAACAATTGGTTGAAATACAACTTAAAAAACAAGATTAAAATACAACATTAAAATGCAGCCTCCTTTCAGTAGAAACAGAAATCAAAAACTTTTTTGAGGATGAAAACGTCAAATCTTCACCAAGGCCAACTATCCAGACTGGGTCCTACGTGGGCCAGAAAAAAGCTAGGGAAGTCCCCAAATAGGAGTTCCATCACAGAAGGAGAAAGGGAAAAGGAAAGAGGGGCAGGGGATCAAGTTGATTCCAAGCTAAAGGCCGGTCGGAACAATTCTGTCTTACAGGCCCTGTGGAAAGAAATCAGATCCCGCAGGGCCCTGGTCTCATGAGACAGAGCATTCCACCAGGCCGGAGCCATCACTGAAAAGGCCCTGCCTCTGGTTGGAGAATTGCCTTCACCAAAGGTGTTATGGGCTTTGAAGACACTCGAACTCAGGACGCAAGGGAGAAATGTGCTCAGAGGAAGGCACGCTTGGCAAACCCTCACCGTGATCAGCTCCCGCCTGGAAACCAATGTCCTCACTGTGGAAGGACGTGTGGATCCAGAATTAGCATCCATGGTCGCTTACGGACTCATTGTTAAAACTGTGTTTATGGAAGACAATCTTACTCAGCTACGAGGGATAGAAGAAGAAGGAGAAGACGACATCCTGTTCCTTGGCATTAATAATAATAATTAATAATAATAAATTTTATTTATACCCCGCCCTCCCTGGCCAGAGCTGGGCTCAGGGTGGCTAACACCAGTAAAATTACAGTAAAAACATAATGGGGAGGGGGAACCAATTTAAAATACAGGTGAAAATGCAATTTAAAATACAGTCATTCAGAAGAGAGGGGGAATTTGGGGGCTGCGGGAGCTGCACATAAAAACAAGGAACTGAAATTGACAGCAAAGCCGGGAGTATCGGTTCCCCTTCTGGAAGCTGCAGGTGGGTTGGGGGTCAGAGAGCTCAGTGGGTGGAGACATCCATGTGAAGAGGGGGTGCAATTGCATTTCTTGGCTGTCAATCATTGCACACCTGAGTCGTCTTCGCCCTCCTGGTACCCTCTGGATCAGGGGTCCCCAAACTAAGGCCCGCAGGCCAGATAAGGCCCGAGGGATTCGTTTATCCGGCCCGTAATGACCCCTGCCGCCCGCTCTTACCGGCGCTGCTCTGCGCAGCTGCCCACTTCCGGGTCGGAGGAGCACCGGAAATAGCTTGTGCGCATGCGCAAACATTATTTGCACATGCGCAGGCATTATTTCCGGAGCACATCGGGGTCAGAGGAAGCCCGTGCACATTGTTGTTGTTTAGTCTTTTAGTCGTGTCCGCCTCTTCACAACCTCTTCACTGTGTGTAATCTGGTGTTTGTGTTTTCTCTTTCTTCTTTTCTTGCTGTATCAATAAAAAGAAAAAAAGTTCTGACAGTAAGAGCTCGATCCTTGAAGGTTTTCTAAGCAGAGTTTGGATGGCCATCTGTCATGGATGCTAATTTAGCTGAGATTCCTGCATTGCAAGAGGGGGTTGGTTTGGATGACCGCTGGAGGCCCCTTCCAGCCCTCCTTTTATATGAAGTCTCTCCCAGCCCTACCTGGAAACTGAGCCTGGGACTTTCACAACGCAAAGCCACTGCTCTGCCCTTTCCCCTCATCCTGGCTCTGATTCCCAGAGGAGAACGGCTGCCAAGAGGGGTGAAGGAAGGACAAGGGAGCAAAAGTTTGGTGCCGTGGAGGCAGCGTGTCAGAGGCGCTTCGGGGAACGGCGTCCTTGGCCCCTCGCCAGCTACTCCTCGAACTTTGGGCTTGCACCAAAGCCACGCACGCACGCAGGGACTCGCCCGGCCGCTGGACGGATCCTGGCCGCTGCCTTCTTGCTGGGAACTGGCAGCCAAAAGGAACAGTTTGCAAAGCAGAGCTGCTGGAGCTTAGGGAGCCAGAAGCAGCGGCCTGTGGCTGGATCAGGCCAAAGGAGGCCCATCTAGTCCGGCATCCTTTCCTCAGAGCGTTCCCACTGTCTGGGATTCAGAGATAGACTTCTCCTGAGCATGGAGGCTCTGCTATCACGATAGAGCTCCGTAAAAAAAGTCCTATGTCTAGACCAGTCCAAAAATTCCAGCTTCCTGTCCTCAGAGCATTCCTACCGTCTGGGATTCAGAGATAGACTTCTCCTGAGCATGGAGGCTCTGCTATCGTGATTTTGTTGTTGTTTAGTCGTTTAGTCATGTCCGACTCTTCGTGACTCCATGGACCAGAGCATGCCAGGCCCTCCTGTCTTCCACTGCCTCCCTCATGCTGGTAGCTTCAAGAACACTGTCCCACCATCTCGTCCTCTGTCGTCCCCTTCTCCTTGTGCCCTCCATCTTTCCCATCATCAGGGTCTTTTCCAGGGAGTCTTCTCTTCTCATGAGGTGGCCAAAGTCTTGGAGCCTCAGCTTCAGGATCTGTCCTTCCAGTGAGCACTCAGGGCTGATTTCCTTCAGAATGGAGAGGTTGGATCTTCTTGCAGTCCATGGGACTCTCCAGAGTCTCCTCCAGCACCAGAATTCAAAAGCATCCATTCTTTGGCGATCAGCCTTCTTGATGGTCCAGCTCTCACTTCCATACATCACTACTGGGAAAACCAGAGCTTTGACTATACGGGCCTTTGTTGGCAAGGTGATGTCTCTGCTTTTTAAGATGCTGTCTAGGTTTGCCATTGCCTTTCTCCCAAGGAGCAGGCGTCTTTTAATTTCGTGGCTGCTGTCACCATCTGCAGTGATCATGGAGCCCAAGAAAGTAAAATCTCTCACTGCTTTCATTTCTTCCCCTTCTATTTGCCAGAAGGTGATAGGCCCAGTGGCCATGATCTTCGTTTTTTTGATGTTGAGCTTCAGACCATATTTTGTGCTCTCCTCTTTCACCTTCATTAAAAAATTCTTTAATTCCTCCTCACTTTCTGCCATCAAGGTTGTGTCAGGCTCCGTCCTATGTCTAGACCAGGCCAGAAATTCCAGCTTCCTGTCCTCAGAGCGTTCCTACTGTCTGGGATTCAGAGATAGATTTATCCTGAGTGTGGAGGCTCTGCTATCGTGATAGAGCTCCATAAAAAGAGTCCTATGTCTAAAAGGTAAAGGTAAAGGGACCCCTGACCATTAGGTCCAGTTGTGACCGACTCTGGGGTTGCGGCGCTCATCTCGCTTTATTGGCCGAGGGAGCCAGCGTACAGCTTCCGGCTCATGTGGCCAGCAGGACTGAGCCGCTTCTGGCGAACCAGAGCAGCTCACGGAAACGGCGTTTACCTTCCCGCTGGAGCGGTACCTATTTATCTACTTGCACTTGGACGTGCTTTTGAACTGCTAGGTTGGTTAGGAGCAGGGACCGAGCAACGGGTGCTCACCCTGTGGTGGGGATTCGAACCACCGACCTTCTGATTGGCAGGTCCGTGGTTTAACCCACAGCGCCAACCGTGTCCCAGATCAGGCCCAAAATCCCAGCATCCTGTCCTCAGAGTGGCCAGCAAGATGTCTATGGGAAGACTGCAAACAGAACCCGAGTGCAAAATCACTCTCTGGTCGCCGTTCCTACTGTCTGGGATTCAGGAGGTACATCTAGTCCAGTGTCCTGTCCTCAGAGCGTTCCTACTGTGTGGGATTCACAGATAGACTTCTCCTGAGTGTGGAGGCTCTGCTATCGCAATAGAGCTCCATCAAAATAACTCCGCATTTGGATCAGGCCAAAGAGATCTCATTTCAGGGGTTGGATGGCCGTCTGTCATGGATGCTTTAGTTGCGATTTCTGTATTGCACGAGGCTGGACTAGATGGGGGGGTGCCTTCCAACGCTACAATTCTGTGATTTGATCTAGTCTAGCGTCCTGTTCATAAGACCTCTCAGAGCCCAGGAATCCAGATAGACTGCCTCTGTACCTGGAGGCTCCATCAACTTCCTGCACCCTTTCCTTTAATAATAATAATAATAATAATAATAATAATAATAATAATAATAATAATTTATTATTTATACCCCGCCCATTTGGCTGGGTTTCCCCAGCCACTCTGGGTGGCTTCCAGAAAAATATTAAAATACAATAATTCATCAAATATGAAATGCTTTCCTAAACAGGGCTGCCTTCAGATGTCTTCTAAACATCAGGTAGTTGTTTATCTCTTTGACATCTGGTGGGAGGGCGTTCCACAGGGTGGGCACCACCACCGAAAAGGCCCTCTGCCTGGTTCCCTGCAATCTTACTTCTTACAAGGAGGGAACCGCCAGAAGGCCCTCGCAGCTGGATCTCAGTGTCTGGGCAGAACGATGGAGGTGGAGACTCCTTCAGGCATACTGGGCCTTTGAGGCTGTTTAGGGCTTTCAAGGTCAGCGCCAACACTTTGAATTGTGCTCGGAAACGTATTGGGAGCCAATGTAGGTATTTCAGGACTGGTGTTATGTGGTCTCGGCAGCCGCTCCCAGTCACCAGTCTAGCTGCCGCATTCTGGATTAGTTGTAGTTTCCGGCTCACCTTGAAAGGTCGCCCCACATAGAGCGCATTGCAGTAGTCCAAGCGGGAGATAACCAGAGCATGCACCACTCTGGCGAGACAGTGTGTGGGCAGGGAGGGTCTCATCCTGCGTCCCAGATGGAGCTGCCCTGGACCCAGAATTGACCTGCACCTCCATGGACAGCTGTGAGTCCAAAATGACTCCCAGGCTGCGCACCTGGCCCTTCAGGGGCACAGTTGCCCCATTCAGGACCAGGGAGTCCCCCACACCCGCCCGCCCCCTGTCCCCCAGAAACAGTCCTTCTGTCTTGTCAGGATTCAACCTCAATCTGTTAGCTGCCATCCATCCTCCAGAACACAGAGGGAAAGCATCAAAATGAGGATCTGAACCCCCTTGACTCTGGTTTCCTTGCTTCGCTTTTCATTTTGCAGCCAGTTGGCTGCTCTGCCTAGGAGGCGGCGACAGTTTTGTTCCCAGCTCGGGATTTTTCGTCAGGCGGAGCCGACCGGCAGGTTCTCCCAGTCTGGGTAGGGTTCGGAGGATAACAACGTGGGTGTTCTCACCTGGTAAGACCTGCTGGCGCACCCCGGGCTGCTGGAATGCGCTGGGGCCGCACCCTGGTCCACAGTGACGCAGGTCTCGTGCTCTCCGCAGCCGAACATGTTCCCAGCTCAAGGAAGTAAAGCGTAACTAGGCCAGACTCTCCCAGCCTCACAGACTGGGAAGCTCATGTAAATTCCAGTTTCACTGGGATCAAGAAGCTTTATCTCTGTGGGGAACCTTCCTTTCTCTTTGGTATTTATTTTATAATACAGTGGTACCTCTGGTTGCGAACGGGATCCGTTCCGGAGGCCCATTCGCAACATGAAAAGAATGCAACCCGTGTCTGCGGGTCATGATTCGCTGCTTCTGCGCATGCATGTGATGCCATTTCGCGCATCTGCGAGTGGCAAAACCCGGAAGTAACCCTTTCCGGTACTTCTGGGTCGCCGCGGGACGCAACCTGAAAACGCTCAACCTGAAGCAAACGTAACATGAGGTATGACTGTAAAATGTATACAGCGGTACCTCGGTTTACAAACTTAATCCATTCCGGAAGTCCGTTCTTAAACCAAAACCGTTCGTAAACTGAGGCATGCTTCCCCTAATGAGGCCTCCCACCGCCGGTGCCCTTCCACCGTTTGGATTCCGTTCGTAGACCGGGGTAAATTTCGCAATCCGGGACACTACTTCCAGTTTTGCGCAGTTTGTAAACCGAATCGTTCGTAAACAGGACTGCTCTTAAACAGACATATTCACTCTGTTCTTAAACAGTGTTCAGATTCACAGCTCTGAACTGGTGGTTCATAGAGAGACTCGCCGGTCTCCTAACCTGGCCCTTTCAGACAGATCTTTAAAATACTTTGAATATTGGTCATTTTAATGAGTAGGATTGTGTTACTGTACAGTACTAGGTGAGGATTTTGGTGGGGATTTTAAAAGAAGGCTCAAGGGTTGCATTCGTCATATAGGTGCTCACGCTGTGCTGATGGGAGAGGTGGTGCGAAATCCATGCCCCCTGACTTCGCCCAAAGCACATGACTTCTCTCAAAAGAATTCTGGGAACTGTAGTATGCAAAGGGTGCTAGGAGCTGCCACTCCGTGAGGGGGAACTACAGTTCCCATGATTCTTTGCAGGAGTCAAACGCACGTTAGATGTGCTTTCAATGTCCGATGTGGACGCTCCCAGATTTTAGAAATCGCTTGCATCTGCAGGAAGTTTCCCGCTGGTTTTTCTGAGACTACATGTCTCTTTTTGCATGACGGGAAGTTTCTGTTACAAGAAAGGAGATTCTGCCAATAATAAATAATAATAATAATAATAATTTATTATTTATACCTCGCCCATCTGGCTGGGTTTCACCAGCCACTCTGGGCGGCTTCCAGCAAAATATTAAAATACAATAATTCATCAAATATGAAATGCTTCCCTAAACAGGGCTGCCTTCAAATGTCTTGTAGTTGTTTTTTCCTTTGACATCTGATGGGAGGATCTTCCACAGGGTGGGCACCACCACCGAAAAGGCCCTCTGCCTGGTTCCCTGTAGCTTTGCTTCTCGCAGGGAGGGAATCAGCAGAAGGCCCTCGGCGCTGGACCTCAGTGTCCAGGCTGAACGATGGGGGTGGAGACGCTCCTTCAGGTATACAGGACCGAGGCCGTTTAGGGCTTGAAAGGTCAGCACCGACACTTTGGATTGTGCTCAGAAACATACTGGGAGCCAATGTAAGTCTTTCAAGACTGGTGTTATATGGTCTTGGTGTTATATGGTTATATGGTCTTGGCGGCTGCTCCCAGTCCCCAGTCTAGCTGCTGCATTCTGGATTAGTTGTAGTTTCCGGGTCACCTTCAAAGGTAGCCCCACATAGAGCGCACTGCAGTAGTCTAAGCGGGAGATAACCAGAGCATGCATCACTCTGGCAAGACAGTGTGCGGGCAGATAGGGTCTCATCCTGCGTAGCAAATGGAGCTGAGAGACAGCTGCCCTGGACACAGAATGGCCCTGCACCTCCATGGACAGCTGTGAGTCCAAAATGACTCCCAGGCTGCACACCTGGTCCTTCAGGGGCACAGTTGCCCCATTCAGGACCAGGGAGTCCTCCACACCTGCCCACCTCCTGTCCCCCAAAAAGAGTCCTTCTGTCTTGTCAGGATTCAACCTCAACCTGCTAGCCGCCATCCATCCTCCAACCGCCTCCAGACACTCACACAGGACCTTCACCGCCTTCACTGGTTCTGATTTGAAAGAGAGGTAGAGCTGGGTATCATCCGCATATTGATGGATGCCCAGCCCAAACCCCCTGATGATCTCTCCCTGGGGCTTCATGTAGATATGAAAAAGCATGGGGGAGAGAATGAAACCCTGAGGGACCCCACAAGTGAGGGGTCTGAACACTCAACCCCCAACACCACTTTCTGGACACGGCCCAGGAGGAAGGAGCAGAACCACTGTATAATAATGTGTGAGGGAAGTGCCAGCTGGTTGCCATTCTACATCTCTGCCCCAACATGGCCAACACATTTAGTCACGGTAGGTCAGGATTCAACCTCAATCTGTTAGCTGCCATCCATCCTCCAACAGCCTCCAGACACTCACACAGCCTAGACATCAGGAAGAATTTTCTGACAGAAAGAGCTGTGGAACAGACTCCCTCGGGAGGTTTTTGGTCTCTCCTTCCTTAGAGGTTTCAAGGCAGAGGATGGATGGCCATCTGTCTGAGATGATCCAGTTGAGATTCCTGCATTGCAGGGGTTGGACCAGGTGCCCTTTGTGATCCCATCTTCCAACTCAACAATTCTGTGAATAAGCGCTTGCAGGATGCAGGGAGATCCCAGAAGAGATGGGGGCAGGAGCTCCACTCATGAGCACCTCCTCCAGGCTGAGGAGTTACTGGTGGATTTTGGAATTCATCCATGGATTATTGGGAGAAAGGGGAATTTGACTCTCCCATCCTCTTTTGTCAACCAGCAAAAACCAAACCTGTTCAGATCTAAATGCATGTTCTGTTTCCAATAGCGGATGTTTTGTGCTCAGCAAATTATCACCTTTAGGTTTTCCAGAAAGCCGGTTGCTAGCTTGGGCCTCAATCCCAGAGCTGTGGGGCATCACAAGAGCGGAGTGGTGTTGTCGCTGGGCACAGAATTTCAGCATCCTGTGATTTGTTTGTTTTTCAAGTGTCCAGACCTCATGGACGCAAACATGGGTTTTATGTGCAACAAGACGAACCACAGCAATTGTGAGGAAGAGCTTGCTTTGGGGGCCCTGTGTTAAATCCTGGCTTTCCCAGGACCAGCAGAATAAATGATGCAATCAAGCTAATGTATGCAAAGTACTTGATTTGCATAATTCTTCCCTCCTCCCAACCAGAGAATCTAGGTGCCCTCCCCCCCCCCCAGTTTCTTATATATTCTGGGTTCAAAATCCTAATCAGGCCTAAACTGCCTTGGGTTAGCCTGGCTGGTGTTTCTGCAGATTTCAAAAAATGAATCCAGTCTTTAAACTGGAATGTGCTGCAGAAATATAAGAAATGTATCTTTTCCTCAAGGCGACTCGTCACCTATGTCATGGGTGTGGGTTTGTACTGCAAATAAATAGCCACAAACGTCACAGGTCCTTTCGATCTTTGAATTTATTATTATCAATAATAATAATTATTATTAACGGCACCATTATTAGTTGCTTTTTTTATCTGAAATTCTCACACTGAGAAAAGAAATAGCAAACTTTTTTTCCCCCTAGCGAAGAAAGTAGCAAACTTATTTTTTTCCCCATAAACAATTTAAATTTTAGCACAATGTTCTCTTTTTTTCCATATTTCAAACACGAAAATATATATATATATATTATTTTGGAATATTACAAAAAAAGATAAATAGTATATAAAATTGTTTGAATAAATAAAGTGTCTATAAATAGTTTACATTTTGGTTTGTTTTTTTGCTTATCGCAGTATTACAAGGTAAACATTGAGGGCTCATTTTAAATGAAATAAAAATACACACAGACACATACGTTCCCCACAATAATTAGACGCAGGTAGTTAGCATCAACATTTTATATATATAAAAGATTAAGAATTCCACCCCACCCCCTCATGGCTGCTCAGTCCCCGTTTAGCATCTGATCTCCATCCTTTGATGCTCCTAGTGATCAGTGTAAATATGGGTGTGAAACAGCAAGACACACCTAGGTGGCTTTTTCCCACCCTTCCACCAAAAGACAGAAAACCAGAGAGTCTCTTCTTTTGCAATCTCAGAAAAATTCAAGGCTCCTCCAACCTCCATGCTAGGGGCCAATGCTATTTTGATTTTTCGTTTAATTTTAAACCCAACTCTCAGCCCCTTGTCGTTTGTGTGCGAGGGGAAGGGGGTTGCCCATTAAGGCAGCGAGGTCCAGGCATTCACAGTATGTTAGAAGCAACCAGAGATATCTATATTTTTAATTTAAAAAAATAAATAAACGAGGAAACCGGCAGAGGAAGCATCGTCACGATTGCACCTCTCCTCTGCCCAATTTCCAACCGCCGTGTCGTCTGTTCCCCCTTCCCAAAGAGGAATTGTAAATCTGCTACATACAAAATTGGGGCGAGGGCGACGAGAAGGGCGGAACTGCTCCATTTCCCCACTGCGGAGATATCTGGGGCAGCTTGGGTTTGGAGGAGCGATGGTCAACAGGCAAGAGGAATGCCAGGGACTAGATTGACCCATGGAATCCCTTCCAATGTGTCTGTGATCTCCATCTCCCCCCAAACCACAGCAAAACCACAGACTGGGGAGGGATGAAGGAATGTTTTGGGGGGGGGGAAGAGATCTCCTAGCTGCCACCCCGTATTAGCAAAATTTCACAGGATGGGGAAAAGAGACACGAGAGAGGTGGACAGTTGGGATAATAAGCCTCGCACTTTCAGCTTTTATCCGCCCGAACCGACATGGCACTTTCGGAGGCAAGGCACTGTTTCCCCTCTTTCTGCGTAGTTTTAAGAGGTGGAGCTCTGTAAGGGGTCGGCAACTGGCGGCCAGGGAGCCAAACCCGGCCATCTCCAATCTCTCTCTTTAGTCTCTCTCCAATCATCCTGTTTCGTCCGATTTGCGGTTTCCACTGCAGTGGTGGGTCAAATGATTTGGTGGTGGGTTTGTCATGCTAAAAAGGGTGTGCTGGGGGGGCAGAGGTCACTAGGGTGGGGAAGAGCAAAACCCAGGTGAGGAAGAAGGGGGGACCCTGCCCCACTGTCAAAGGCTCACTGTGGTCACCTGCCAATCGCATCACTAACTACCTGCTGTTCGACGCAAGCGAGACTCTCGGGCCCTGACGTATTGGGTTGGGGGGCTGTGCCCCCTTTGAGCCTGCACAAGGCACTTGTGGGGTAAACGCAACAAACCAGAACCAATTTGGGTTGTTGTTCATTTCTCTCTCTCTTTTAAAAGGCGTTTTCCAGGCACATTTGGACGGAGGGGAGACGGGAAGGAGGGTTCCAGCCTCCTCTTTCGCGCTCTCCTCTCCCTCTTCCGTCAGCGAAAAGGACGCGGCGAAACACCAGGAAGTCCTGCGTGCGGCTTGAGGACCCCGGAGCAGCGACAGCTCCGAGGGATCGAGTCCAGAGGGTGGTTCGAACAGGCCCCACAAACCGGGAAGGTCATACGTAACACCTGCGCAGCGACAAATCACTCCCCGCATAAATCTGCAAACCGGCGAAGTCGCAGCAAGGCTCACTCGGAGACGGAGATTCGGTTGAAGATGGGCAGCCGGTTGCTGCTCCCCACGGGCCCGCTGGGGGCGTGGAAGTCAAAGACGGGCGAGTCGGAACCGCTCAGGCTGCTGGAGCTGCTGTAGCAGTCGGGGTCGGAGAGGGAGTTGGAGGAAGGCGTCCGGGGCAGGTTGGCGGAAGCGGCCGCAGAGGTCGGCGTCCCCGGAGCAGCGGAGAAGAGGTCCCGGTGGTGGGTCTGGAGAGGGCCGGACAAGCTGGCTGACTTGCCACAGCGGCACGAGCAGCACCCCCCGGAGGCCGGGACGGCCAGGGCTTCCCCCAGCGTGTGGAAGCGAGAGATGGGATCCGAGTTCAGGTGCCCAAATGTCGGGGAGAGGAGGTCGGCCGGGGCCGGAGGTGGTGAGACGGACGGCGCCCGGGCAAAGGAGGCCGGGTCGGGGACGCCGTGCAGAGGGGAAGAGCGTCGCCCGGCGGGCACTCCGGAGTAACTGACGCTCTGGCGCAGGAGCTGCGGCGACGACGAGGACGGCGAGCAGGCCTGGGCCTCCTCGATGGAGTGGATGAAGTGGCAGCGGGAGCCGTAGGGGCACTCGCCGTGGATGTAGAACTTGTGGCACAGCTCCGTCTTGTACTTGGGGTGGCGGCTGACCGTGCGCAGCTCGGCCGCGCCGTGGGCAAACTGGCACTTGGCTCCGTACTTGCACTTGCCCGTCTCGCTGAAGGTGCGGCACAGCTCCGTCTTGTAGCGGGAAGAGAGCGGCGGCGCCGCCAGCGAGGGCAGCTTAAGGGGAGGGAAGCCCGGAGGAGGAGGCGGCAGCGCCTTGCTTCCCTCGATGAGGCTGATGGAGCGGTCGGGCCGCAAAGGCGGGCGGCGGGTGGGCTCGCCGAGGGGGCGCAACTGCTGCTCCGAGCCGGGGCTCCAGTGGCTGCGAAGTGGCCACAGCTGGGAGGAGTCCCCGCTGCTGTAGGGCGTGTCCAGGGAACAGGCGGAGTCACGGCGCGAGGAGGGCATGTCCAGGTCCTCGCTCAGAGACAGGTTACGCAGGTTCTGCGGGGAGAGAGAGAGAGAGGCGTGAGCTTTCGGTGCTGCTGCCTTGTGCTTTATTTTTAAGCAGAGAATGGACGGCCCTCTGTCATGGAGGACTCAGTCGAGATTCCTGCATTGCAGGGGGTTGGAACAGATGACCCCCGGGGGCAGTGGCGTGCGGCCAGCGGGAACTAGGCTAGCCCCCTAAATGTCCCCCTAGAGCAGGTGTCCTGCTGGGCGTCATCAATCTGTCCCGCCACCAGGCGAGCAGGACGATTTTCGTGGCTGTTTCCTGCACCCCGACGGGCAAACAGGGCTTCAGTCCCCCCAATATTTTGGGCCAGCGAGATCTGACTCGGGGCCCCATTGGGCCCTCCCCGCCATCGGGAGAGCGGGACGAACAGCGTGGCGGCTTCCCGTTCCCCTACGAAAAAGCTGATCACATGAACACCACCACAACGGCGAGAGTATTGTTAGCACAAAACTGGGGGAAAGATCAAATTCCAACAAAGAGGAACTGGCAAGTGAAGTTGATGGAATACGCAGAGATGGGCAAGCTGACCGGGCAGTTAAGAGACCAAGAGTACCAAAAGTTCAACAAGAATTGGAGTAAATTTTTAAAAATATCTGGAAGATTACTGCGTCGATTTAAATTTTTTTGACTGGGCTAGAATGACTCTTGTAAAGATAACTAGTAGACACAGTGGGAAAGGTGGTAAATAGAATATTAGATACAATTGGAAAGCCATATAATATAGAATTCTATGGACCCAAGTAAGAGGTGGAAGGAAGTCTGGTGCAAACCAAGGGTTTGAGGAATGCCTGGTTGTAATTTGGGGGCAAGTCTTGATTTTCAACGGATGGAACGACTCTGATTGAGTATCAGTTCAGATGACAACCTTGAGCTAGGTTAAGAACTTTGAGGAATTGCAGGAGGAAAGTCACTTGGCTCCAGGGACAGCCCACAATTATACTGGGCTATTCTGACTGCTTTTTCTTAACGGCAACTGCTGCTGCTCAGACAAGGCATTTTGGTGCCAGTAATTCGTTCTGATTGTGCAGATAAAATATAACTAATTCTGCAGGGTGGGGTATAGGGTGTGTGAAAACAGTCTGGATCAAATGGTTCCCAGATGGTAGAGATGGCAAATTCCAAACACTGTGCTTCTTCTGTACAAGCTCTGTCCCCAAAGTCAGCCCATAAATAAGTTTACAAACACAGGTAGATGCCGGAAGTGTGATGGAGACCAAAAATCTGGGAGATCGTTGTCTCCAGTCTTGTCCCCCCTGAGATCCCTGCCCTGGAAATGGCTGCTATGGGATACAATCAAGATTTCAAAGGAGGCTCAGCCTCAATCCTTCGCCCCTCTCTCCAAGAACGTCAAAAATTATATCCTAGTAATTGCATTTCTTTCCCACTTTTTCCCTCCCCTGCAAAAAAAGGAGAGCTCAAGGTGGCATAGCTGGTTCTCGTTTAATCCCCACAACAGCCTTGCAAGGCAGGTTAGGCTGGGAGGGAGAGTGACTGACTGGCCCATAATCTTCACGGCCAAGGGCAGGGATTCGAACCCAGGTCTCCCTAGTTCTACATCGCACTGGCTGCCGCGACAAGGCAGCTGGCGGAGGAGAAGGAGGTGGAGGCGCTGAGGAAGGGCGAACAGGTTTCTGAGAGCAGAGTGGGCCTCGCTGCGGAGCAGGAAAAGGTGACGTCAGGCAGTTTCATATAGCCGCGGTGGGCTGGGTCGCAGTTATTTTTAACGCTGGGCCTGCGCCAGAGCTGGAGGGGGAACAGCTGCTCCTCTGACTGCGGAGAGCCAGAAAGATAGGGAAGGAAGGGAGGGTTGTGGGAGCCCAGAAAGCCTTTCACCTACTAGAGGCGCATTATCACTTTGCTATCGTCTGGGCTAATTAAGGAGGCAGGGAAGCATCTGGCTGCTGGATCTGGCCCAAAGGGGCCCACCGAGTCCAGCAGCCTGTTCCCGCCGGGCCAAATACCCCAGCAAACCTAGAAATCGGGATAGACTGCCACTGGAGCTGGAGGTTCCACAAGCCTGCGCATCTATACCTCAACATCCTGTTTTTTGTACCAGATGCCAATATGGGGAAACCCCGTGACCTCCTGAGCCGAGGGGGCGCAGACAAGGGCTGCCTCATTTCATAGCAACACAGAATCACAGGGTTGGACGGGACCCCCAAAGTCATCTAGACCAACTCCCTGCAACGCAGCAACAATTTGTTTCTAGCTCAACCAGCCTCCCAAATTTGCAGGTCGAGGAACAATTTGCAGATTCAGTTTACTGGCATTTTGAAGCCACCGGTTTGGTTTCGGACCTGCCGTTCCAATTCGGATGGCTTGCATTTTAAATGGAAATATATATCTCTCTCTCTGGGTAAAAAAATACAAGTTTGAATCAGGTCTGTGGACTTTGGCGTTAGACAGGCCACGCCTCAAGGCGTCCCAAAGTCAAAAGCTGCAGAACAGCATTGATAAAAAGACTAACAAGGGAAAGCTCCCGTCTTGTAAATGAAGTTGTCGAGTTGGAAGGGACCTCTGACGGTCATCTAGTCCAACCCCCTGCGTGGAGAACCCGGGTTCCACAGAGTGTGCAATCTCAGCTTAGATGGATGAGAAGAGACAAGGGAGACAGGCTGGACAGGGCTCAGCTGAGACAGGTGGCAGCGCAGGTGCAGCCCAGGTAAGGCAGACTAATGAAAGATTTGCTAAACAGGAATTGCTCGGCAGATGAGTGGCAGGAGCCTGACAAACAGGAAGAGGAAGTCCTGCCCCCAGGAAGTGGCAAGCATCTTTTTTTAAGGTGGGGGAGAGATTGCCAGGTAGCTAGCAATGGAAACACACGTGCAAAGGGAAGGAAGGTTGTCAATGGAAGATCTCTAGCCAGGAAACAGACTTCGTTGAACCATGAGATCTAGAAGCTTGAAACGAATGCCGAGCGACAAAAAGGATGAAGACTCAATTTTTTCTTCTGCGTTCCCACATGATTTCACTGTTCCCCATGCCTACACTCGAGGGCCCCTTCAACTTCTGGCAAATATCCAGAGTTGCAAATTGGGCATTATTAGGAATAGTGTGGTGCGATGGTGAGAGTATCTAGGATCAAGAGCTGGGTTCAAATGCCCCGTCAGCCGCATGAAGCTCACTGCTGCCTTTCTCAGCCTAACCTACCTCACAGGGTTGTTGTGGGAATTTAAAAGAGAACCGTGTACACGACGACTTGAGATCCTTGGAAGAAAAGGTGGGGTATATAACTGCAGTAACTAAATAAGGTAAAAAAGAGGTGGCCGTTCCTCATCTTGCACCAACAAACACACACTTTCCTTACAGAAACCCAAGCTGCCCCAGACTTATCTGTGACTGAGAGGCCGGAAAATGTCTTTGCGTCGGAAATCAGGTGTCAAACTAAACTTTCACGTGCTGTCAAAAATAAAAATGGACCTTTTTCAGGAGGCTAACCGCTGCTTATTTGTTTCTTTATGAAGACTTTCCAAAGCTGCAGGATTTATTAAAACCAATCAAAACAAGAGCAGTGTCCCTGGTGGAAGTCTTTTGCCTTAAAACATTTTTTGGATAAATGAGAAAAAAAATTACACCCTATTGCCCAAAACCTGTAATATGGAAAACTGGGCACCATGCCTACACCCTGCTTTTAAAACGCTGGGGCTAAATTCTCAAAGTGTGTGAGATCACAAAGGAAGAAAGCACTATTGAGCATGTGCTGTATTCTTTTCCCAGAACTCCACGACCACATATAAACTAGGCTCCACCTATATCTACAATCTGGAGGAGTAGAAACTTTGAAAAACAACTTCCCCCTGTTTTGCCACCTGGCCTGTTAATCTTCACAAATCTGCTCCTTAATCATCCAAGCCATAAGACCCCTTATCAAGATGTGGCAAGAGTCAACACCTATTTCTCAATCTTTCACTGGCATGATCTGTGCCTTTCAGTGAACTGGGGGTGACACATGCAACAATAATGGGCTGTCGGTGCAGATTCTCTCGAATTCATTTTGAGATATTTGGAGATATTTTGCAAACCGGTCCTCCACGTAGCCCAGCAGCCAACGCAGCTTCTGAGTTTGACAGTTCATCCCAGGATGGAAAGACCTGCCTTCCTGCCTGTCGAGAAGGGTGTGGTCTATTTAATTTAGCAGGGGTGTCTGGGGCTGATGGGAATTGTAGTCCAAGAAACCTGGCGGGGGTGGGTGGGGTCAGCTTGGCAAACGCTCTCTAGACCTGGGAGGCCAATAATAATAAGCCCCTTGCTCCAGAAGGCGTTCATGGCATGCACATTTTAAGTAGGAATATCTTGGGGTCCTGTTTTAAAGAAAATTATCTGTTTTGCAGGGTTTGCATTAGGCTTCAAGAAAATGCAAGCTGTTTCCCTGCTGACACAGAGGTAGAGAAGGCTTTTGCACATGTGATGAGCCTGACATTCGCATGAGGATTATCAGGTTTTGTGGACGTGGTCGCAAGGCTGTGGGTCTTGCTTCAGAGGAGTGGGCTGTTGCTTAATGCATTTTCTGCTATGGGACTGAAAACACGTCACCTCCAACTAACTGCGGAAATTTACCTTCACTCAACATCTGCCCGAAGTATTCCACGTAACCCAAAAACTTTAATTCCTCGTTTCTCAATCTAGCCAAAGCTAGATTGAGCTCCCGACTGGGCTCTTGGGCTCCCAACTGAACGAACCCTTTATTGGCGGGTTGTAAACTAACTTGCTTTATTTACGATTTGCACAGCCTACCGGGAAACAAAATCAGGCTTGCATGTTTATTTTAAAAAAAGCCTATGTAACTCTCACCGTAAAGTCCCAAGGACATGTTACAACAGCAAAACATACATTCAACAAACAAATGATTCGGGCCCATTCAGTTTTTTTCTATAGAGGAAACTTTGTCACACCCTCTCAACAAAGATAAATGTTTTGCTTGATTCAATTGTGGTTTTTTCTTGTCCCTCTCCTGAGGAGATCAGGTGGTGAACAAGGTTCCTTCTCCACCCCTATTTTAAACTCACAACAACCCTGTAAAGTAGGGCAAGTCATTGGTCCGAAGTCACCCGGGGGATCTGAACCCCAGATCCTAATGGCCGGGACCTAATCTAGCACCAGACTGCATTGGCTCCATTATATACCAAATATTATTTTTTAGAACTCTTCTTACAGATTTTGCACAGAAAATTCAAACTGCCGCAGCGATTCTGTGCAGGGCAATGACAGAATTTCATTTCCTCGGTCTTTTGCGGGACTGAAACCCGCACACCAATCCTGGACTGCTGCAGTTTAAGGAAAGGGCTTGTGAAATCTGAAGTCGGAGTGCTTAAGCCTGCTTGATTTCACAGCCCCAGCCAAGGAGAAAGAAAAGAAGAAGGCACAGAACTAATGACCTAGAAAAAAGTGCTGTTCCTCCCTCCAGGAAGTAAGCCAGCAAAAAAAAATATGTTCCTGTCCCCTCCCATTCCCTTCTGAGCCACCCGCCACCCAATTCAATTTGGAGAGAACCGGGTGGGGCAGAATCTAGGAAGGGGGGCACAAATAACCCCCCTCCAAAACAAAGTAGCCAAACAGGCAACACTCTCCCTCTATACAGTTACTTCCATTTCTCAAAAGAAAGGTCTGCTTGAGCCATTTCTCAGATTTGTGTTTTTTTTCCTCAATAGAAGCAGGATAATCAGAAAGGGAATCCGGCAAAATAACTGGAGCCCCTCGCCAAGATTTTCCAGGTAAGGATGAGAGCTGGCGAGGAGATATTCAGGGTTCAAAATGGGTGTGCTTTGCAGAGTAGAGCCACATTAGAGAGCAGGGGGAAGAAAACTCGGATTCCCAACAGTTGCCTGGGTTTTAACTCTTTTGCCTGAAAGGTGACACAGAGCTCTGTGTCACTCAAAAGCTTGCGTTGTCATACAAGGAAATCTAGACGCCCAAAAAGAACCATCTCACTTTAAACACACACACACACACACACACAAAATCTCTCTCTCTTTGACAGAAACACACCACCAATTGTATGGAAAATGTGTCCCCGGCTGTCTTGGCAGAAGGTGGTCAGGCAGCGGGTACTGTCAACAAGAAACCGCAGCGCCCCCAAGAAATTTTCCTACCCGAAAGTCAAAAAAGGACACCCTCCTTCCTCCTAGCTCTGAAGTGGCGTCCACTTTAAAAAATAAAAATGACACCCGGTGGGTGGAGGCAGGAAAAATGGCCGGCCCAGCCCGGGATGTAGTTAGGTCTAGCAGTAAAGAACGAGATCATTAAGTTTTACTATCCAGCGACCAACAATCTCAAGAGGAAAAGGTTCCTGTCTGATCCAGGGATCTCTCTCTCTCACACACAAATATATTTCTAACTTCCAAGGTTACACCAGCCCACAGAGCTGCCAGGAAAATCCCTTCCAACAATCAGTCCCTAGGAGCCAAAATATCCCAGCCAAATCCAGGACTCTTTCCAGCCTCCCGAAACCGTTCCCGGATCTCGGGTCTTTCTGGAAAGTCCAAACCCAATTTGGCGACTCGGTATCGGAGGAACAGGACGGAAAGGAGGGGGGAAAGGGAAGGGGTGGCAGCGGGGAAACATCCGACCTTCCTTTCCGACCTCGGCTGGGAAGGAAAGAGGGCGAAAAGTAGTTGCCAGAAGCTGCGTAAAAAGCCCGGAACCAAAAACGCAATGCAAACCGCGCGCTGAAAGCTTTTCTCTTTCATGGAGGGCATCCCCTTCCTTCGTCTGGGAGACAGTCCCCAGCCCCTCCGCGGTTTTTCCGCGCTGCTGCGCGTACCTGGAAGATGGTGTTGACGTCCAAGATGGAGCTCATCGCGCTACGTGGGGCTCTCGGCTGGGGCTCCGGCTGCGCCGCCGCGTAAGGATACTTGCTGGGCTGCGCGCGTCGCGTCTCACGCGGGGAAGCTGAGAGCGCAGCGCCGGGGCTGCGCCTTTTATTAAGGGCTGGCGATGAGCTCATGGGGCGGAGACGCGGCAGCCGGAGCTGGAGGTTGCAGGGAAGGCGGGTGCCCAGAAAGGGGGAGAGGGAGAAGGGAAGAGAAAGAGGACCGAGGGGGAGCGCGCAGGAAACAGAGAGGACATTTATTCGCCGCTTGTTCTTGCCAGGGCAACCTACAGAAACAAACGGACCCAAGCCACATTTTTATGGTTTCCCAAACTTGGGTCTCACCAGATGTTTTTGGAAAGCAGTGCTAGCTTTCTTTCTTTTTTATAATTTTTATTAGTTTTTTTAACATATCATTTTCAACAGTAATTAAACATACTTTTACATCTTATTCAAATTTTTGACGTCCATCAATCTTGTCTGAAAATTTTCCAATCTAATCTCTCAGTATGCATTTCTTATCTTCCTGATTACATTTCAAACTCATAACCAATATATCTTTTCCTACTTTGTAACACTTCGTATATTTCTCCCTACAAAACTTCTTGTAGTCCTACTAGCGTAATTTGTTGATTACAGTTGCTCTTCAAATAATTCATATACTTCTTCCAATCTTCTGTAAATCTCTGGTCCCGCAGGTTTTGAATCCTTCCTGTCATTTTGTCCAATTCTGCATAGTCCATTAATTTTGTCAGCCATTCTTCTTTCGTTGGAATTTCTTCTTGTTTCCATTTTTGGGCTAACAATACTCTTGCCGCAGTTGTTGCATATAAAAACAATTTAACATCTTGCCTATTAATGTCCTGACCTATAATACCAAGTAAAAATGTTTCTGGTTTTTTTTAAAATGTACGTATATTTCAACATCTCTTTCATCTCATTATATATCATTTCCCAGAAGTTCTTTACTTTTTTACATTCCCACCACATATGATACAATGTTCCTTCTTTTTCTTTACATTTCCAACATTTATTATTTTTCTTATACATTTTAGCTAATTTCACTGGTGTAATATACCATCTATACATTGTTTTCATCATATTCTCTTTCAAAGCATTACAGGCTTGGCAGGGGGTTGGGACTCGATGGCCCTTGTGGTCTCTTCCAACTCTATGATTCTATGATTCTAGGCTGTAAATTTTATCCTTTCATTCCACAACCTTTCTCATTCTTCAAGGAAAGCATGTGCTAACCATCAGCCCTAACCACTGGTCTTGCTAGCTAGGGATGGTGGGAGTTGTAGTCTAACAACAGCTGGGGATGCAAATTTGGGAAACACTGTTCTAGGTCATAGAAGTTTAGAGTTGGAAGGCATCGAGTCCAACTCCCTTCTGCAATGCAGGAATCGCCACTAAAGCATCCTCTTTGACATATGGCCACTTTCAGATTGTTTTTTTTTTTTTAATATTTATTATTTTTCCAAAAACTTAAACACTAAAAAGACAATACAATACAACACATCAAATTAACAAAACAAAACAAAAACAATAAAATAAATCAAACAATTTCAGTCTCCCATCTTTCATTCACTTATTTCCACGACCTCCTCACACCTCCCTTTTTGTATTCCACTTCTATTAATTATTTCAGCAATTCCTTTTCATCTTCCTTTTTTTCTATCCTATAATTATCTTAACTCATTCTAACCTTATTTTTCCTTTAATGCTCTATTAACCTATCTGTACTTAATTCCTTATAACATTTCTACTAAAGCCATATAACTTCATTCCAACATTTTTCTAACATTCATTAATTTTACAGTATTTCTGTAGATAATCTTTAATTTTTTGCCAGTCTTCTTCCACCGACTCTTCTCCCTGATCTCGGATTCTGCCAGTCATTTCCGCCAGTTCCATATAGTCCATCAACTTCATCTGCCCGCTTTCAGATTGTTTCCCAATCTTGTTTTTAATGTGGTAACCCGGCCTGGGTGCCTTCGGGCGAAGGTCGGGGGATAACAAGATTTTATTTATCTATCTTATCTATTGCCGTTCTTTAGCGCCCTTTATCCGAGGGTCACAGGGCGGCTTGCAATAGAAAGAAACAAAAATGTGCCACGTAGTAACAAAGAAAACAATAACACCCCCCCCCCTCCAGCTTAAAAGGCCATATGTGGGGCTACCTTTGAAGGCGACCTGGAAACTACAATTAATCCAGAATGCGGCAGCTAGACTGGGGACTGGGAGTGGCCGCCGAGACCACATAACATCGGTCCAATCTGCATTGGCTCCCAGTACATTTCTGAGCACAATTCAAAGTGTTGGTGCTGACCTTGAAAGCCCTGAATGGCCCAGTAGACCTGAAGGAGCGTCTCCACCCCCATCGTTCTGCCCGGACACTGAGGTCCAGCTCCAAGGGCCTTCTGGTGGTTCCCTCGCTGCGAGAAGCCAAGTTACAGGGAACCAGGCAGAGGGCCTTCTCGGTGGTGGCACCCGCCCTGTGGAACACCCTCCCACCAGATGTCAAATAGAACAATAACTACCAGATTTTTAGAAGACATCTGAAGGCAGCCCTCTTTAGGGAAGCTTTTAATGTTTAACAGACCACTGTGTTTTAATACTTTGTTGGAAGCCACCCAGAGTGGCTGGGGAAGCCCAGCCAGATGGGCGGGATATAAATATATTATTATTATTATTATTATGAATTAGCCAAAGGCTAATGATAATGATAATAATAATAAATAAAGATTAATACATTAATCCCACATGCCTACATTAAAAGCGAGGAGAAACAATGCATTAGAACAGCGGTCAGCAAACTAAGGGCCGCGGGCCGAATCAGGTCCAGTGGCCTTCAGGATCTGGCCCGCGGACTGTCTGTGGATCGGCGTGGGGATTCTGTTCATTTGGGCTGCGCCATTTCCCCGCCTGCGCCATTCCATTCCCACCCTTCCCTCTCTCACACCGCGGCGGCGCCTCCTCCCTCCCTCCTCCTGGCTTCTCCCCAGCCTGCCTACCCACGAGAAGCGGCAGCGGCGGCCCCTGGGAAGGTAATCGCAGCAGCTGGGGTTGGGGGGTGGGGAGGAGGACTACCTACTTGCCCCCCTTGCCTCTTCTTCCAGCTCGGTGCCGCTTCTGTAGCCCGCCACAAGGTCTGAGGGTCAGCTAAAAAAATTTGCCAATTCCTGCATTAGAAACATCACCCCCCAGGGCCACAGGTGGTTAAAAGCCAAAAGGCCTGGTTTGAGAGGGGTGTTTTTGCCTGGGCTCCCCCCACTGCAAGGCCACCTCTTCTCTTGGGAAGGTTCAGCCTGAGTCGTGGGAGTGCTGGGCCATCTCGTTTTTCTGCCAGCACAGGCTGGCAGCAGCTGGGCAGGGGTTTGGGTGAGGGGGGTGTGTGTGCTCCAGAGAGACGTAAGAAGAGGCTGTTTGGTCAGATAAAAGGGGGGTCCGTTTGGGCCAGCGTTCTATTCCTGTAAACCTAGGAATCAAGATAGACTGCCTCTGGACCAGCAGGTTCCATAAGGGAGTAAGAAGAGCCCGGCTGCTGGATCACCTTTTGTAGGTGTGCAATGTGGCAGACGTGGTCCCCCCCCCATTTTATCCTCACAACAGCCCTGTTGGGTAGGCTAGGCAGAGAAACATTGACTTGGCTCAAGGGCACCCAGTGAGCTTCACGGTCACCTCCAGACAACCTGTTTGTTGAGCATTTATCACCCTACACTCCCCGGTAGATTTCCCCATCACTTTCCTTACAGCAAACAGTCCAGTTTTGTGGGAGAAGCAGGTTCATTGCGCAAGAGCTCCAGATCCGCTTTGACTGTGCAGCCTGACTTTTCTGGAGGGCGACTGAATCCCACAAAAAAAGCAGCGGCTGTCTGGGAGCCGTCTCCCCTCTCTTACCTGTGGCTTAAGATTGATTGTGAAAAACCTCCAGGTGGTTTGCATTGAGAATGAAGCAAGGAAATTAGTTTCCAAAACAGTTAAAAGCAACCCTTTAAAATGTTTTCCCCAATTTAAAGTCAGCAACAAACTTAAAAGGCAGCTTAAGGCACAAACTAACGTTCCACATATCTAGGCTTGCCATTCGCTGGGAAAATTCCTGACGTGTCCTGGTTTTCGGGTGTGGAAATGGTGTCAGGGGGGAATTTTGCCGAATCTGCAAAATGTCAGAGAAAACCCGGATGCATGGCAACGCGATGGAAGAAGCGGCGGAAACAGCTCCAAAGGCTTAAAATCATGATTTATCCAGTAATCTGGTTTTTATTTGAATGATGATTTCATTTTTTGAACGTTGTAAAGTGTTGCTGTTGTCCATCATTTTATTGTTTTGTTTGCAAACCACTTTTGACCATATATTTTTTGGGTAATGCTTCTCCCTCAACATTCCTCCGGGGCAAATAGGGACGTCCTGTTCCGTAATAATGTTAATAATAATTTTATTATTCATAGCCCGCCCTGGCTGTCCATCTGACTGGGTTGTCCCAGCAACTCTGGGTGGCTTCCGACATATATAAAAACATAACAAAACATTCACACTTGGAGAGTCTGGTAATGCAGTCGAGCTATGTATAAATATTACGGAATAATAAACAAACAATATACAGTGGTACCTCGGGTTACAGACGCTTCAGGTTACAGTGCTCATCTCGCTTTACTGGCCAAAGGAGCCGGCATACAACTTCTGGGTCATGTGGCCAGCATGACTAAGCTGCTTCTAGTGAACCAGAGCAGCGCATGGAAATGCCATTTACCTTCCCACCAGAGTGGTACCTATTTATCTACTTGCACTTTGACGCGCTTTCGAACTGCTAGATGGGCATGAGCAGGGACCGAGCAACGGGAGCTCACCCCGTCGCGGGGATTCAAACCGCAGACCTTCTGATCGACAAGCCCTAGGCTCTGTGGTCCCACAGTGCCACCCGCGTCTTGGCAGCACTTAAATAGCAAAGGGCAGAGGGGGGCGGCTGCACTATAGATATTGGCACTGACCCCTCCTCTAATTATGGTGACTGAGCTGGGTCCCTCACCTCACACAGAAGAGGGAGTTTTATTTCATGATGACATCTGTCATTCCCGTCTGGGCAAATCCCAGGACCTTCCTACAGAGGGAGCAACTTCTTCCTGGCCTGTGCAGAAATCCAAGAAGGAATTCTGCCCTGGTTCAGCGTCTTTGGGTACCTCCAGACC